TATGTAATAATATTCAACATTTTTCATCAGGCCTTGGATTGGAATTGTTGCCATTAGATGCCATGTCCTTTCATCCTGTTCCCACTATATTTAATTTAGAGGACTGTGATAATAAGCCAGCTCCCTTTTGAAAGATTATATGGTCTATTAATGCCTTTTTATGGCATGTCATGATCTACCCTGTATTTTTTAAAGATACTCATATCCTTTCTGTCCCACACTTACCAAGTTAAAAGCAGACACCTTCCACCCTTTTGGCAGAGAGTCAACAATTTGTACTACTCAGTGTACCCCCTGATGCTGGAGAGTTGCACTCAAGTTTTCTAGCTACCTTAATGGCTCCTGCTGTATTCCACCATGAGCCCACCCAGCATGAGTCAGTAGCTGAGCATCAACTTACGAACCAGGAGGTCAGGGTTCGACTCCCGGTAAGGGCATATGCCAGGGTTGCAAGCTTGGTCCCCAGTGGCGGATGTGCAGGAGACAGCCCATCTATTATTCTCTCTCATCATTGATATTTCTTTTTCCCTCTCCCTCTGAAATCAATAAAATAGATATTTTTTTAAATCTTGGCATGAGTCTACACTCTGCTTTGGGTTCAATTCTTGCTTTGTTCATAATTCTCTCAGTTGCTTTATTTTTATTTTTTATTTTTTTTAAAGAAAATATATTTTATTGATTTTTTTACAGAGAGGAAGGGAGAGGGATAGAGAGTTAGAAACATTGATCAGCTGCCTCTTGCACACCCCCTACCAGGGATGTGCCCGCAACCAAGGTACATGCCCTTGACTGGAATCGAACCCGGGACCTTTCAGTCCGCAGTCTGACGCTCCATCCACTGAGCCAAACCGGTTACGGCTGCTTTATATTTTAAAACACTATATTTATATCAATGTATATTATTTCATTTTCTATTCTCAGTCTTGGTCTCTCCTTGAAACCTCACACTCCTATACCTAACAACTCTATCACCTGCACCAGTTGTTCCCTCAAAGCTTACCCTGCTCATCCTCAAAAGGCTTTCCCTCATCATCAACCTGTGGGTCGCAACCCCTGAAAATACATCCTGCATATCAGATATTTACATGACGATTCATAACAGTAGCAAAATTACAGTTATGAAATAACAATGAAAATAATTTTATGGTTGGGGGTCACCACAACATGAACTGTATTAAAGGGCCACGGCATTAGGAAGGTTGAGAACCACTTAAGTATCCACTCAGTCACTCCACACATGTTGCCTTCTAAAAAATGCTCTGAAATAATACCCAATTTTTTGAAATTAATGTGGCATTGCAAATGATCACCTCCCTGCGTATCAGAAACCAATTGCGAACGATGGCCAGAATATTGATTTGGTTTTGCTGTCTATATAGTTGCTGTGGGGACTGATGGACTGTCAAAAGGTTAATGTAAGGATAAAATTCATTTTATAGAAGCTATAGTTTGAATTAACTTGTCTAGTGAAATCATTGTTTTGTTACTCCGGTGTTCTCTTCCTTTTGTTCCATAGCTGTCATGGATTTAGTCAAGTTTATACTCCTACCTTCTTTGTTGCCCTTTGGCTACAATCTATTATCCAGGAAGTAGTAGTACAATATCAGTGGTGGCTACAAGGTAGGATGACATCTTAGAGTAAGAAGACTAATATTGTATATTTTTCTTTTTGGTATTGATTTTGTCTTTTTAGTTTAATATTGGTCTCCTGTTCTAGATTGTGAATTCTTGGAAGATAAAATCCCTATTGTATTCATCGTTATATCTCCTCCTCTTAGTCTGGGTACCCTTTGCAGACCTAGAGATAAGAATTTAAGTGTGAGTAGTTTATCAGGTGTGATAGGGGAGTGGGGAAGTGAGGCAAATAATACAGGGAAACTTGTAAAGAGTATATATATCAAGCAATTAACCACTGGCAGTTAGACCTTAATTCTATCTAGGCCAGTGATGGTGAACCTTTTGAGCTCGGTGTGTCAGCATTTTGAAAAACCCTAACTTAACTCTGGTGCCGTGTCACATACAGAAATTTTTTGATATTTGCAACCATAGTAAAACAAAGATTTATATTTTTGATATTTATTTTATATATTTAAATGCCATTTAACAAAAATCAACCAAAAAAATGAGTTCGCGTGTCACCTCTGACATGTGTGTCAGAGGTTCGCCATCACTGATCTAGGCACTCTGGGAGGTCATATGCAGCTTACCTCAGAATTACCTGAACCAAGGTGCTGGAGGGCTAGGATATCCAGCCCTAGCACCCAGCACCTTGGTTGAGAGAGAATCAGAGAGGGAAATGATTAATTCCCAGTAACTAGGTCTGGCCCATGTGCATGCAGAGTACGTTCTGGCTGCCAGAGAAAGCTTTCAAGCTGCTGGGAGCGGGGAGTGAGGCTGTCCTGTCTGGAAATGTTAAGTAATGAAGTGATAGAGTCAGGGCACCAACGGCACTGCACATCCCTACGCTATACTTAGTATTTCTTAAGTATTTATGATGAAGTGAATCTTGAAACCATTGATCAGGAAATCAGAAGGATTGGAATAATCAGCATAGACTAGGAAGTAGAGATATTTTTAAACCACGAGAGATGACTTTTGATTTCCATCTTGGTTATAAGGCACAAACAAATCCATCTAATAAGCCGTGCCACGTAATTGTTGTACCTGGACAATTCAAACCTTATATTCTGCCAAGAGAGGACAGCAGGGTATCTAATGACTGCAAAATATACCGCTAATTGTTGCCTGCAGTGAAAATGTATTACAGAAAAATCCTCATAACTTTTTGCTTTGATCAGAACATGGCATCAGTGAAGTACAGTAACTTCAATAAATTGACCACATGAATCCTGTTTATATTTTCAAGACTAATTAAGCCAAAATGATGGCTGTTATCTACATGGGTGTTAGTAAATAAAGGTCGCTTTAATAAGGGTGTTTGAATTTTGCAAACCTCATACTCCATGATTTATTGTTGGCATTGTATGGGTAGAAACCTATGGTCCAATCATAATGATTTTTTTATGATTTTTCCAAGTAAAGAAATAGATTAATTTTATGAGAAGACCAATTGCTTCTCTTTGCTAAGACTAAGAAGGTAAACATTGTTAACCATAAAGATGACAGTTTGTTTTTATGTCATTTAACCAGAGGCCCAGTATACAGAATTCATGCACTTGGGTGGGGGGGTTTGGGGGGGTGCAGGGAGGACCTCAGCCCGGCCTGCACCTTCTCACAGTCTGGGAGCCCTCAGGGCCTAAGCTGTCAGTCGGACATCCTTAGCGCTGCCCTCACCAGCCGTGAGCCCAGCTCAGAGCTTCTGGCTGAGCGGCACTCTCCCTATGGGAGTGCACTGACCACCAGGGGGAAGCTCCTGGGTTGATCGTCTGCCCCCTGGTGGTCAGTGCACGTCATAGCGACTGGTCTTTCTGCCGTTCGATCAATTTGCATATTAGCCTTTTATTATATAGGGTATGTTTTCAGTCTTCCTTTTGGTGATTAAAGAAAAGGGCATTTGCTAAATTACTTTGGCTTTGGCGACATATGTATCTTTTCTCTGAAAAGGAATGTAGGAAAAAATTGTATAGGAAATGTCTTCTAAAATTAGAATTATAAGCAAAGTTTTAAATGGTATTGATTTATATATTGGAGAGTCTTCATATTTTGCAAATTAGCTGTTAAATAAGTAGAAAAATGTTTTGGAAGCTAAATTTTCAGTTTGATACAATAGGCCTAGACCAGGGGTGGGCAAACTTTTTGACTTGAGGGCCACAATGGGTTCTTAAACTGGACCGGAGGGCCGGAACAAAAGCATGGATGGAGTGTTTGTGTGAACTAATATAAATTCAAAGTAAACATCATTATATAAAAGGGTACGGTC